ATAAAAAAAAAAAAAAAAAAAAAGACGGTAACACATTACTTCCTTCTAAAATACACTTGACACAACACATACATACAGACATTTTCACTCTCTACATCTATATATATATATCTGCCAGTAAAATTTATCAATATTTTTTAATAAAAATAATTTCTCCCTTCTCCTCAAAAGAGCGAAATATTAAATAATCGCCGCAATGAAAACATTTTCTCTATCTTATTGAGTGAACATAGTTGTTACAATATATATTGTCAGAAATCAGGGTATTCACTCGATTAGTGTAAGAACAAAATTTATAATATGTTCCAAGTATACAAGAATTTTATAGAGCAACTATCCGATAATTTTTTTTCACTTGAACCGATCATGTAATTAAACATTATACAAAAATTAGATATTATGGCATAATATAAGTCATCGATTAAGGCTTCCAGTTCTTATCATAGCAATACTGGATTATGATGAGAAATTGTATAAATTTTTCTTCATGCTATACATCGAAATAAATTAATTTTTTCGTATATCACAATTCTAGTGTTCTAGATTTGATTTGTGAGATGTACGCAATATTTTCTTTTTGATCATAAATCAAAAAATAATTGTAAATCTTATTAAGAATATTATTCACTGCATTGATAATTCAATATAATTATAGTGAAAGACCAAGGAGTCTTAACTCTGATTAAAATAAGTATTGTCAAAAATATTTTCCAACCATGTTAAACTTAAATAACAATCTTAACAGAAATAAGATGACTAAAGCATGAATTTGGCAGTTTGATCATGAGAAATCTTATATTTAATAAGAAGCTTACAAAAAAACGAGGGTAACTTTATTCTCATTTACACCACATTACATGATCAATCTCAAAATATAAGAATTGTATTATATACTTATTGTAGTAAGATCAGACTCTCAATTTTAATATATTCCGTTCGCCAAAAATGGAATTGGACAAAAGATGATTTGTATTTACATGAATTATTATATGCAATGTTGTATATCGAAGTTACAAAAAATAAAAGTCTTACACATTTTAAACTCCATCAAAAGCCCACTATGAATATAAAATAATGCATAAAATATGTCGATTAAATCCGGATTGAGTTTAGTAAATAAAGAAAAGCATTGAGCTCTTTCCAAAATAACTAATTTTGACGAAAACTCTGTGGTATGTGTAATATCACACAATTCTTTATTCTAAATCGATTATCATGTATTCTGGTGATTCGCTCGTACTACTAATAGAGCTAGTCTGTGGTTTCTTAGGCGATGAAATACCAGTAGCGGGTTTCTTTGTACTTTGAGTCGGCGTGTTATCTTCATCGTCATCATCACTATCAGATATCAAATCAATAATGACAGCGCGCTTCTTCTCTTTTGGTGTCGGCGTAGTAGGATTAGTTTCATCTAAACAAATAAACAAAGTATTGCATCATTTACACTACTAATATCCAACATAGAAATATTTCAAAACTTGAATTAAGTTTGAATAAATCTCAAGAATCTCTTTAGCTCTTTGTTCACAGGGTATTTGTTAGATCTCTAAAACTTTGCGCTATAATTATGCACTATCTCGTAAAATATATTTTCCTCTCACCTAAATCCACGGTGTCTACATCAATTTTATTATCCCGTGAGTCGGCCGGCTCTTTTGTTTCAGTTTTCTCCTTATCTTTCTCTTTCTTTATCACTAAGTTTTCCCATGAACCGTCTTGCAACAATTGAATCTCATTTACGTCCGGCATTAACTTATTTGAATTAAGAACTTCCTGGAAATATCCATCGATCACGAGATTATCATAGAGTGCCGGCTTGTCACAAACCGGACAATTCCAAGTAGGCTTCCGTTCGTTCATTTGAAGAAACAAAGAAGCATCGAAACACTGCAAATGTGAACATGTCGATGCGCGACAAGGTGTACACATCCTCATCTTTCCTAAAGGACAAGCTAACGATACTCTTAATGACGTGGTAGCTATTTCACTATCTGCATCTTCGTTTAATTTCTCCTTAACTGTAAAATAATTTATAATTATTTTTGTGATAAAAGCTTTTCTGTCTAGCAATTCTAAGTGTTTATAATCGTAAAATAACTGCTTACTCAATCCCCTAGTATAATCGGAATGCCTTGGACCTCTGTTTTTTAATCTAGTGAGTAATTCTGCGCTGGTTAATTTTCTAACAAGATACACCGCGATTGCGTATCGCCTACCATAATCAGCCGACCACGTAACGCGGATTTCGTTCCCGACCGTAGGGGACAGCTTCACCAAAGGACTGATATTGACAGGCCGTGGTGGTCTCTTCGGTTCTACACTTGGTTTATTAGTAGGTATAGGATTCTGAAAAAATTTATAACAAATTCTTGACATTCATTTTCTATGAATGATTTATCAGATCGTTTAAATATTAACAAATTGTATATTCAGTATTTCACAGCTTACATTATTGCATTTGTATGTAAAATTTTGAAAGAGATTTACAAATTCAATTTAACTTACGGGTAAGGGGCACACTTTTCCATTAACTTTTACTCCAATATTTGGAGGAAAATAGTCTTCCTGCTCACATGATGTTTCTTGCAAACAGAATCGCATTTGTACCTAGGTGAAACATAAATTATACATAAGCTTCATAAAAACATGAAGAAATACTATTAAATATAATTTAATTTTTTTTTGTATACATGTTCTTTTTTTCCAACAATATTTTATAAACAATATATTTCACATGTGAGTTCTCAACATACCTGTACAACATAATCCATTTTACTACCAGCTCGACAGTCGCGTGCGCTGGCAATATCAGTCGCTTGTTGCGGAGTCAAATGAAATAAGAATGTATTTTCTTGTATTCTCATCGATCCCTGTGGCATTAAACTAGATGGTTTCAATAATTCGCCTAATAAATCGAAAAATGGAAGTCTCTTTAGTCTAACATCTGGATGAACTGGGTATTGGCTCGTAGGTTGTATTTGCAATGGTGCTGGTAAGACTTTGGTTGGGTATTGATATGGATTATATCCTGTATTTGCAGTACGCTGAAAAAAAAATTAAAGATATTTCTCTAATGCATTTTCTAATATATTATTCTAATATGTTCATGAATTCACACATGTACACGCACACATACACACACACACACACACACACACACACACACACACACACACACAAGCAATGAAACATAATTGTAACAAATATCTAAAGTTCTATTCTTTATTATTCACATAAATTATATAAAATAAAAATTATGCTAATAAAACTAAAAAAGTTATTTTGTTGAATATATAATGATAATGTTAACAAAATAAAATAGATAAAAACAAATTTAAAAAAATAGATATTTAAAATAAAATTAATTACAAGTAGAAAAAATAAAGTAAGAAAATATTTAATAGAAAGTTAAAAACTTAGGACAGTTTGGCGTCTCCCGACTGCTCTTATAAAATATGCAATTAATAATTATCGTGTAAGAAAGTAATTTATCATTATTTAATTATAAAATCTTAATCCTTTCTAAATCTCCCCTTCTCATATAGCGCTACATATGTAATGAGAATAAGTTTGAATAAATAATCAAGTATTTGTGTGTATGTCTTTTTAAATATACTTTATTTAATATTTAATATAATTCGTAATTAATTATATATCAATACTTATATGAATTAATATTATTTCAAACTTCTCTAAGTTATTAATTTTTTATTATTTATTTTTTTAATCAATTTTTTATTTTTGTTTAATCTTATTTTGAATGACTTCTTCCATTTTATTTTATTTTATTAATAATTTTTTGGGGTTTACTTAAATAATTGTTTATTTAAACATTTTATTTATTATTATTTAATTTTTTATCTTTGGTTTTTTCGTTTTTTATCTTTATTTCATATATTTTTTTATTTTTACTAAATTAAATTTTAAATTATTATTCACAGCAGTCGGGAGTATCTTTTTTTCAAAAAAACTTTTATTTCAATTTTTTAAAAGCTACATATCTTTTTACCGTATTATTGCACAAATTATGTAACAATTGCTTTGTCGCTGCTTCTATTGTCTGTTCGTTGCTTGCTGATGTAGAGCTTGCTGTTAATTTTTCCTTTCTATAGCGCAATTGGTTTTTAGCTGCTCTACTTTTTCGTCCAATATTTTGACACCTCTTCCTTCTTCGTGATACCTAAAAAAGACTTAATATATATAATATCTATTAAACTATAATTTTATATAAATGTATTATATACATATAAGTATATAAATTTTAAAACATTATATATAAACGTAAAATATAAAAAAGTGCACTCAAACAGAAAAGAAATTACACAAAAATATATATATTACAATGAGAAAACAAAGATAAAAACAACATAAAAGAAATGTATATTATTCTTGAATTTATTAATGCCCATTCCACCGATGCCAGCTTCGCATGTTTCTACGCTGTTTATACCATTCTTTTTAATTATACAACATATATTTCTTGATTATCTTCTATCTTTTATTCTTGATTGTGACTATAATCTTGATATATTTTTTTCTATTAAATTTATTAATACTATTTCAATTGGTTCCTGTTTGTTGTCTTCACAAATAAGAAGATGCAACACTGCTGCTAGTATGCACCTTTAGAGTGTGGCGCAACTATACAT